AGGTCATGAGATAGAATCTCAGCCGGGTCCAGACATCGTGGATCCCCCCACTTATCCCAAAGAGATACAAGAGTTTCAAGACAATCTGGGGAGGATCCAGCCCTTCCCGTATGGAAGGATTATATGGACTTACAAAGTTTGTGAATCCTGAAGAAGAAAATAATACGGATGGGTGGGTCGAAAATTGCTTAGATGAAATATCCTTGGATGAAATTGAACTGTTATGGGATTGCATTTCTAAAATAACATCGGGAATGTTGTAAAAAAATTTTTTTTGTAACAAATTGTAAGATGGTCATAATAACAATAAAAAAATATTATATATATACCAATCTTGGTGGCTTCTCAATTCAGAGAGAGAGAAGATGTAGAGCGTTCATTTTTCAAGATGGGAGAATCCCAAAATGACTACCCAATTCAAAGAGAGAGGGTGTAGAGCGTTCATTTTCAGTTTTCCAAGATGGGAGAATCTCACAATGGCTACTCATTTCAAAGAAAGAGGGTGTAGAGCGTTCATTTCCATTCTCCAAGGTTAGAAGGGGGAGGATCCTAAATGGCTTACCCATTTCAAAGAGAGATTGTGTAGAAGCGTTCTTTTCAAGTTTTTTTTCCAAGTTGGGGGGGGGGAGGAGTGGCAAAATGATGACCCATTTCAAAAGAGAGTTGTGTAGAGCGTTCATTTCAGTTTTTTCAACAAGTTTGGGGGGAGGAGTCGTAAAATGATGACCCATTTCAAAGAGAAATTGTGTAGAGCGTTCATTTTCAATTTTTTCCAAAGTTAGGGAGTCTCAAATTGGCGACCCATTTCAAAGAGAGAGAGAGATCGTGTAGAGTGTTCATTTCCAGTTTTCCAAGGTTAGGGAGTCTCAAAATGGCTACCCAATTTAAAGAGAGATAGAGAGGGTATATAGAGTGTTCATTTCCATTCTCCAAGGTTAGAAGGTCCCGAAATACCTTCTAAATTCAAAGAGAGAGAGAGATCGTGTGGAGCGTTCATTTCCCAATTCTCCAAGATCAGAGGGTCCGTTTTTTCCAAAATGGCTTTCCGAATTCAGAAACAGCGGGGTGCAGACTTCCAAAGTCCCCCAAAATGGCTTCCCGTTTCAAATAGAGAGAGAGAGAGAGTGAGAGGCGTGGTAAGTGGTCATTTCCCGTTCTTCCAAGATAGGGTCGGCCGCTTTTTCCCAAAATGGCGTCCCCATTCAAACAGAGTAAGAGGCGTGGTGAACTGTCATTTCCCGTTCTTCCAAGATGGGGAAGAAAACCCAGATGAATAACACGAGGAAGAGAAAAAAACGCCATCTGTCATTTTCTTAGGGTACGGTTTCGAATACTTTGTGACCGACTGTACTAATATTTCAAAGTTCTTTGAAACTTTTTGTCCTGAAAATGCCAAGGATTTTCCATAAAAAAATAAGCAGGCATACAGAATAATTCATTTAATAGTTTCATATAATCGCTTTTAACTTATTTCATGTCTAAATTTTCTACACAGAAATCCGCTGTCTAATTTTTAGTATCTTTTATCGGACGAAATTTTTCAAAGAGGAATGAATTAAAGGCTTGATTGAGCAAAACACATCTTTAAAGCTAAATGTATTCTAAGAAGTACAAAAAATGTCAACACGATTCCTCCCCCCCCAAATCAGTCATTTAAACTATTCAAACCGTTCAGGAAAAGGATAAACATTGCGAACATAAAAATCTGCTCTTTTTTATATATACTTTAATAAAAGGAAATGTGTTCCTTCTTTTTATAAGAAAAGGAACCCATTTTCTTTCTAAACTTTTGAAGTCGCCAACGCTTAAAAAATGATGAACTACGCCAAGGTAGAAACTCGCCTTTTTTTTTAAAAAAAAGATTTACTACAAGAGTTCACGTACGTAGAATCCGTTCCTTTCGAGAGGGTTTAATTGACGGATCTGAGACTCAATGCGCATGCGTGGTTAATGTTGTTGCGAATAGCTTAAGCGACTAATCGCACCGGTGGTGCGAATAGCATCGGCCGAATTGCTCAGGAGGGAGTGCGTTGACATGGTACTGTAATCTTGTGAGGATGATTCTTTCAAAAATTTTACTGAGAATTGGGAGCAGGCATATTGGTCTATATCCGTCTGTTTGAGTATGGTTTTTGTCCGGTTTCTGGATTGTTATAATCTTTGCTGTTCTAATCTCCTTGAATTTCACCTTCTTTATACTCCTTGCCGGAAATTGACACTTCTTTTTCCTTTAATGGCAACATGCGATTATTTTCATTTGTGTCAAAATGGCCCCCGCCGAAAGCAGCTTCGTGCAAGGTCAACCTCAATTAAGGAAGCAGGATCTTTCAAAATTGGTTTGTATAGTTTACATTTTTGTCAGTTTGGTACCTTGTTTGTTTTAAGAAAACTCTACTATGAAAATGTCATTCTCTATACTGTTACTAAATTCTTTTTAAATTCCTGCAGTAGCCACGTTTTATGAAAATAGCCCGGTTGAGTATTACTCTCACTGTTAATTTTTGTATTTAAGGTGCTGATGCATTAGTTTTACTGTGCTGATCATAGAATAAAACTCAGTTTTTTTTTTTATTTAAAAAGTTCGAATCAGATAATATATATGTATGTTTATTCAAAGTGTAGCTGGAAAATGGAGCTAAAAATTTTCGTTTTTAAAGCGTGTTATTATTTGTTATACCTCGAAACACAAGTTTTAGAACACGTGGCTATTTATATTTTATTAACTCCAACTGACAGTAGTATGAATGCTTGAATTGCAAGTACGAAAGTATTCAATAATGTATGTCTTTTACTTAGGTATTAAACGTTAAGCAAAAGTAAAAGAAAGTGTATTGTATGTAATGCATTGTCATATGTTGTTATTGAGCAGGAAGTTCATATCTCTTCTGCTAAAATGATGATGTTTATTTCAAGTATTTGCAAAAATAAATGGGAGTTTTACAAATAATGAAAGTATGTAAACAATTGTTTGTACTTACTGTTATTGTAATATGGGTGGATTGATTCACATTTAAAGAACATTTAAGAAACGATATAATTATTGGGTTTAATCCTAGTATATGGTATGCACGAGATTTGACGACATTATGATCAGTAAACACGGTGTTTATGAGGAGCAGTAAATGAGTCATTTTGGTGTTGGCAACAATTTTCAAAATCACACAGTTTAATCCTAGTATCCGGTGCACACGGGATTTGGCTACTTTTGGGGACTTTATGATGAGCAGTAAAAATGTGACATATACAGTGAGTAGTAAACAGGTCATTCAAAGAATGTATATGGTTATACATAGTATATACTATATATATAGTGTATATAGTATGTTATATACACACATAGTATATAGTGTATAGTATATATATAGACGTTCTTTGGATCATTTTTGGTGTTGGCGATAATTTTCAAAATCGCGCCAAGGCTGCACCGTATACTAGGATTTTACCAATCACACCAAGGCTGTACCGTGCACTAGGATTTTACCAATTATTGTTTAAAATTCAAATAATTGTTCAGCATTGAGAATATGTACATAATAAGACTGAAATGGGGTACATTTGTGAACTTTTAGGTTGATCTTTGGATTATGGTAACTTGGCGAACATTTGGCGACCAACTCTGCTACAGCAACCTTCTACTTTTTTTTTCGGCGCCATTTTCTCTTCACGGAGTAAAGACATGTTTCTTTTCTTTTTCTTTACTGAACACTTTTTCCAACAATCTGCCAGCCGAATTACACTTATGCTAGAAATTTTCTGGAACAAAACTGCTTAATCATGACAACTATTAACTGCAAGAATTGGGAAAAAGTGCAGAATCGCAAACTCCTTGCTGCATTTTTCAGAATCGCACATACACAGTAACCATGTACATGTCGACATATTTTTACTTTAAAAAAAAAATCCCAGAATTGCACAAAAATGGCATTGCGCACACTCCTGACTTTATCCATGTACACTACTTTTTTCTCATAAATTAGAAAAATTTGCACGAAAAAAGCAAGAAAATTTTGTGAATCTTTAAACTCGGTAAAAAGCAGCACATATATGAAATTACCTGATCGTGAAAAAGTATATACCCTTTCCAAGGATGAACATTTCCACGTATAAAATAATTAAAATATCCAAAAGCTTTTACCTCTAAATTATCTATTATATTATAAACGTCAGCAACAAATTTATACGCAAACATTAAAAATAGTTACAAATACTTAGAGTCAAATATTTAAATTATTTCCATGCACGTTTACTTCTACTGGAACGTATTCCAAATTGCTACAAACATAAAATTCACAAAATAACTATCATTTAATTAAAATATAATTAAATTCAAAAACACTACTTAAAATATAAATGAGCACATACATTAAATTAATACATACATAAATACCCGTTTCGAATTCACTTTAGTTACGGCCATGGGATCCAAAAATACACGAACACTGTTTCACACAACACAGAATAAAGCCAAATACAAAATTTCCAGATTTTTTCCCAATTTCCCCCCTTTTCCGATTAAAGAACCGTAATTCGTCCATTAATATCACATGACATATCCCATGATCTCTCGTTTCCCTCACACAAAATAATGCGTAATCGGAACTGAGTACTGCTCACGTTATTACCAAAGTCCCAGGTAGTAACCTTTATCGCCTCCAAAATGTCGCCAAACTACCAGTTACCATATTGTAAAGATCAACCAAATTTTTTGTCTACATTTCAACTTTAAGCCTAAAATGTCTCCAAAAACGCAGTTTTCGCACATGCAGAAACTACGTTTTGAACACACAATTTAAGCTAAAAATCCAAAACAAAAACAAAAGATTTAGATAGCAAAACCGTTAAGTTTCTAACCAAAACTATTTGACAAGAATCCATGTACACAGCGATATGTTTTAACTTTAAAAAAATCTACGAATGGCGCAATCTATGAATTACACACACCCCTCTTTAATAAATTAACAATAAATTTCAAAGAATAACCATGTACACAGCATCCTGTTTAAACTTAAAAAAAAATCTACGAATTTCACTATTTAGGCTACGAAACAATGCACACCTCGCTTTAATAAATTAACATAACAATAAATTTCAAAGAATACCATGTACACAGCGTTCTGTTTCAACTTTAAAAAACATCGGTGAATCTTCGGATTATGGTAACTTGGTGAAAATTTGGCGACCAACCCTGCTACAGCAACCTGCTAGTTTTTTTTTTTTTTTGGATGCCATTTTGTTTTCACAAAGTAAAGGCTTTTTTTTTTTTTTTACTCAACATTTTTTCCAACAATCTGTTAGCCGAATTACGCTTATGCTAGAACTTTTATGGAACAAAAGTGCTTAATCATGATGAAGATTAGGTGCGAAATTGGGAGAAAGTGCAGATTCGCCCACTGCTTCTCGCGTTTTTAAGAATTGCACATACACAGTATCCATGTACACATCGACCTATTTTCACTTAAAAAAAAAACATCTCAGAATTGCACAAAAATGCCATTGAGCACACGCTTGACTTTATCCATGTACACATCGACCTTATTTTCACTTTAAAAAGTCAAAGAAAATTGACAAAAATCCAATTCTTCCTTACTCTTGTAAAAAGCGGCAAACAAATAAGTGGGCGATTCTGCACTTCAGCAGCGAAATTGTTTCTAAGTTCTTATTAGCTAAAATCACGATCGGAATTTTCCAGACAATGTCACATGACATGTCTCATGATCTCTCATTTCTCTGAGACAAAATAATCTGTGATTCAAACTGTGTACTTCTCAGATTATTGCTAAAGTCCTACCTAGTAACCTTTATCGCCTTACCAAAATGTCGCCAAACTACCTGTTACCATATTCCAAAGATTAGCCAAAACATCTACTAATTGTTCAGTCTAAACACTACGCACTAATCAACAAAATAAACTAAAATAACTAAAATAAATTTCAAACAATTAAAAAAACAATAATGATTGCAGAAATTCATACTAAAAAAACAATGAACATAACATTCTACAAAATAAGAATAAAATAAAATGCACTAATTAATGCTTTTTCGAACAGCAGAAATACCAATTTCATACCACCACGTAATCACTATCGTATTTATATAACAGACACACACACTATCCAGAAAATTCATACTATGGTTCACAAATCCCTACTTCTATCATGCACAGCCACTAAAAATAATCTCCCAGACCCTCTTTCCACACCTCCAAATACCCACTGCCCCTCAATAGGATGGCCACAATGATATTTCTTTTTGCCGAACTTCAATTCAACAACTTCCACCATTTTACCTTTCCCCTCTATCTTCTCAGACACAGACACGAACCAACGAGCTCCAGCAAAAGATTTTTCAACGTCAACAGAGTTGCCATACAACATGCAATCGCGCCAAAAACTAGCGCAGAACATATATCGCCACATTTGGTGAAATTAGGGCATATATCAGTGTTGTACCAAAATTTTATTTGTGTTTAACTAGATGAAATGATATTAAATTATTTCCATTTCCTCCCTACTTGCTAGTGTAAGATTTCAGTTAGCATTTTGGCAATTGCAGAAATTGTTTTTTAAAGGTATAGTTGATTGCTTCTGAAATTAGGTTAATATATAGATGATGGTAATTGTTGAAAATTCTAAAGAAACTGATTTTCTATAATCGTGTGAAAAAATGATATGAAAGTTAATAAAATCGAAGCAGGTATTAAAATGTCCATTAGCTATTTGAAATCATTGTGTAGTATTTTTTAATAAAAGAAATTACCAATTTTGTTAAACTGTTAGCTGCAATTTTTGAAACGCATCTCAAATGGTGTGGTCATTTACAGAGGCTGATTATATATATACTATTGAACTCTGGGTTTTAATCCCAAACAGGATGTGGACATTTGTGATTGCAGTTGCTGTGTGGAAATGTGGACATTTGTGATTGCAGTTACTGTGTGGAATAAGGCCTCTTATCTGTAAATTTAAAAGGTATTTGTAAGGAAGGAGGGGATGCAGACTCTGGATTCTGTTCTGTCAGACAGTTTAATCAGACCGCCCTTTCGAATTTTGTGCAAATTGATTAATACAGTCCATGAGTGTATATAATAATAATAAAAAAAACACTTTGAGAGTGGGGCTGGAACACTGTCACTTTGCTTTTTGTAAGTGATATCAATGTCCTACCCACTAGTTTTTCAAAACTTATCGTGAACACAGAGGTCACAAGTTCTTTCTGAATCAGTAGCAGAGTAGCAATGAATATGAATGTACCATCTGGGCAAACAGCAACAAAAGTCACTGGATTCTGTAATACAGCTTCTATTTAGCAATTATAGGTAGTGCTTCTGTAGGAATGGTTATGTCTCTGATAACTTCTTTAACTATAGTTATACCATTTGATCGAAATTAAAAGCTAAATCGTAAATAAAAAATTCATTGTTGAAAATGTAATGGAATATAATGAAGATTGGTTACCGTATATTTAAAGGTGCCCCTTTAATTATCGCTAAGTTGTTTCATTTATATTTAGTTGTTTCACCTGAGTAGTTGAATGTAATGGAAACCCTATTATGATGTGATTGGTTGCGTGATTGTGGTGAATTTGACCGATGGGAAAATATTTGTTGGATGTCAGTTAGGAAGTATGTCACGTATTGGGTGCTATGCATAGTAAAATGGCTGCTGGCAGTAAAGTGGGTATTTGGTAGTATAGAGCAGGAGAGTGGAAGTTTTTTTTTTTCAAATAGTTGAGGACAGAAGAAAAGAAATTTTGTTAGATGTAATTAAATGGAATTATAAGTGTCCTGTATGTACGAATGCATATGGTCGAACATGAAGATCATTCAGATGGCTTTGAATGGGCTTGTCACAGGAAGGGTTCAAATGCTCACTGTATAAATTGTTCCATTAAAAAGGGAACCTTGTTTGAGGAAACTTTCTGGATGCTGTTAAGGAATTTTGAGTGCCGCAGACTGAAAACACAGAAATTTCTAAATAAGGTAAGTGGATATTTCCTTTGTGTAGTGCTTAGGTGCTATAAGATGAATTTCCTTTTTCATGTTATTTCATTGTTTGCTTTAAAATGTAGTTTATTGAGATTATATATTTTTTGTTTGCTCTAGTGTAGAATTTGGTGCTTCTTTGACTTTTAAGTGAAAATATATCAATGTGTACAGGGCAAAGTTAAGGCAGTGCACAATGCCGAGTTTGTGCAATTCCCTGACTTGTTATTTTTGCTTTGCGAAGCGGCAATTTTTGCACAAAAATCACAGCTACACAAAGCCAAAATAACAAGTCAAAGAATTTTACAACCATGTACTGCCAAAAATTGCCAGTTTTTGCCAAGAGGCACCTGTAACTATACTTTTACCTGAAGATTAGCAAATCAACGTGGCTGCTAGTCAGAATGACTGCTACTTTCAGTAAATGCTTTCATGACATTGCCGATGTATATTGCTGGCCACTGTAAATGCACACCCTGAAGGAAGCATGCAAATAACATGAAATTTACAACATGCATTAGCAGAGATGAGATATGCAAATGATTAGAATTTCAGTGCAGACGCACATAACGCGTGCCTGTGGTGCCACTTCAAAGCGCTATTTAAGGCTTAAAGTTTTCAACGATTTCAAGTTTGGCAATTGTGATTTTCTTGTGGTTATAAAAAAAAACACAATAAATTATGCCTTGTAGTAAACAGCGATCATCGTTTGATCAAGTATCCGAATTCGACAGAGGAAGGATAGTGTCCTACCGAGAGTGTGGATTATCTTTCAGAGAAATCAGTAGTCATGTTGAACGAAACCAAACTGTAACGTGGATATGTGACCGCTGGATGCAGAAGGGTACGACGGACTGACGTGTTTGATTGCATCCACCTCAGTGAACCACTTCACGTGATGACAGGAACATTGTGCGCATGGCAGTAACAGATTGCTCAGTCACATCACGAACCATAGCACACCACGTTCAGTTTGTAATGCATCATCCAGTGTCTGCTCGCACCAGTCGACGCAGTTTACAGCAGAGTGGTCTGTCCGCAAGACGTCCGTTGCTTCGTCTACCCTTGACGCAGAACCACAGACATTTCTGCTGCCAATAGTGTGATGAAGGAAGGATGTAGATGGCAGAATGGAATGAAATTGTCTCTACTGACGAGTCACGCTTCTGTCTGCAACACCACGATGGTTGGATTCGAGTCTGGAGACACCATGGAGAGAGGATGCTGAACAGCTGCATTATGCACTGCCATACTGGTCCTGCACCAGGTATTATGGTATGGGGGTAGTATTGGATATCACTCTCGCACTCCTCTAGTACGCATTGCCGGTACATTAAACAACCAGCGCTACATCTCCGAGTTGTTGGAGCCAGTTGTCCTTCCTTACCTTCAGGGCTTGCCCACAGTCATATTTCAACAAGATAATGCGCTACCATACATGGCAGGTATTGTGCAAGGATTCTTCGTCAATCGCCAGATTAAATTGCTTCCCTGGCTGGCTCGCTCTCCGGCTCTTTCGCTGATAGAAAACATGTGGTCTATGGTTGCTGAACAATTGACCCAGATTACATCCCAAGCGGCCACACCAGATTAACTTTGGCAACATGTGGAAGCTGCTTGGTCTGCTGTACCCCAAGAACACATCCAAAGTCTCTTTGAATCAATGCCGAGGCTTTTGGCAGCGGTGATCTCCAACAATGGCGGCTACTCTGGCTACTGTGGCTACTGATTCTGAAAGGAACCACACTTCACACATAAGTCTATAAATTTAATCATTTGATACTTGGTCAACATGTCATCCACTAAATAAATTTTGTTGTGATATCTCTTGTTTTTCTTGGTGTTGTAATTTGGGTGGCCAGCAGTGTAGTACTATTATTTCCATTTAGTGAATTCTTTGTGGAAATTTTTCCAAAATAAATTTATGTGGCCTGAAACTTATGTGATTGAAATCTAATTTTTGAAGTACAGTCAAAAGTCTTTAATCCTGACCTCAAAGCTACAAACTTTCTGCGCATATGCACCTACGCATGCGCATAATACATTTACGCATGCGCGTTTAATGTATAACGGACGGTGTAAGCTAAGTTAAAATTATCTATTTCAGTTATGTTACAGATTGCGTTGTTCTTTAATCTTCGAATTGGATCCGGCTAATTATTTTTTGCAGACTGTTAGAGCAATTTTATAAAAGTAAGCTTGAACTTTCAATTATGTCAAAAAGAATTTCCGATTCTGGAGCTGCCAAAGGACCTACAATGCGAAAGCATGTTTCGATGTCCATCAAACAAAAAGTGGAATTGCTGCAAAAAATGGATAAAGGCATATCCTTTGTTTCTCTAACCATTCCGAAATCTGTTTATCAATTTCATGCTGCTCTGTGGGGAGGGGGGGGGAACGTCGTGGCGCGCAATGAACTGGAAGTTGATCTGTCAGCCTTATTCTTATCTTCAGGGCAGATGTTTTTATTTTATTTGGCTTATAATTCCTTACTAAATGTTGTATTTCATCTCGATGTACTCAGTCTTTGGTATGATTTAAATCAAATTCCTCGTCATTATAAATATCACGAATACACATCAAATAGTTTTCTGGTTGCAATTTTCTAATTTCGACTATGCGTAATGTATACTTTACGCATGCGCGCGTTGAAAGAAATGTTTAATAAAGTAAACAAATAAATATTAAGCTTTTTTTTTTTTTTGTAAATTTTGATACCCTTTAGATCATAATTTCTCTTTATTTCATAAATTACGGTTTCATATTTTTAATTTTATAATTTCTGCATGCCATCTTACCAGATTTAAACTGATGATCTATAATCCGGAATCGCCGAAGTCCCGATGAGTCTGGATTAAAGACTTTTGACTGTAATATTATAATTTTTCTTGTAATTTCTTCAGTTATAAGAAAATGCATCTATAATGTGTACTGAATATTGCAGTTTTATTTTCTCATAGTTTTAATTTAAAATTGTGTATTACAGGATGTTAGTCAGTTGTCACCATTAACTGATGAAGTTATCAGCCGGCAAGCAACAATAAACATAGGTGATTATCAAAAAATTTGTATTATTAGTTTTAGCATAATTTCACTAGAATTACTGATTACATTAAATTGTTTTATTTCTGTGTAAAATACTTTTTGTAACTATATATGCGCACATGTACACAGCGCAAAAAAAAAGGGACAGTGTCATATCTCCCATTCTACTGGGCCAATTGAAGAAAGTGAAGTTGCATTTTTCAGGTCCTGAAAGCGCGACTTGGGATATGTATTATATTTATATATAGCATTGTTACAATATAGATAATTTGACACAAAATGGGACTTTTTCTGAAATACATGTCTAAGAATACGAATAGCATTTGGGGGGGGGGGCTCGAGACCAGTTTGAGCCTGTCTGTGCTCTTATTTTTCAAAAAGGAAAATTTATTTAAAATCGTTTAAAGTCACAAACTGTCTAAAGGAACAAAACATGTAATTTGTAACTCATTATTCAACCAGGTTTAGTGTTTCAAATACTTCACCTTGACAAGTTTTGTTTGAAACAGTAAATGGTGAAGATTAACTGCTTAATGACATTAAAAATGATGCTGAAAATCCCTGATTTTTTTACTATCTACAGATATCACTAGATGTTCCTTTATAAGCCAAAGAAAAAAAAAAAATCTAGGAAAAAACAAGATATTATGGTTTATGATGCATTACCCAAGTTGACTCTGGCTTCAATGAAGCAGCCAGAAGGCAAAAAAACTCTAGCCAAAAGTAATACAGAACTGTAGTCTAGGTAATAAGAGGTAAAGCAAAAATTAAGTAAATACATTTTACAATCTATAAATGTCATTGACAATAGGGTGTAGTCTGAAAGATAGTGTAACACATAGCGGCACATCATAGTCTGGATAATAATACCACCATTGCCACTTGAGGGTAATCACAAAAGCCGCTCGGACACCTACTACAGTTAAGAAAACGTGCATGGCAGAATGTCGATGAACCAAAAATGAAAGTCGCTTGGACCCCTCCCACAGCTAAGAAAACGTGCATGGCAGAGTGTCGATTTCCATGTGATGTTACGAGTGATGGCATTGAATATTTGTAAAATTTTCAGAGCCCGAGGTAACTCGTTCACATGAAAATCGAAACGGCATTTATTCCCGAGTCGTCAAGTGGTTAATATTTTGTTTTTACCTTTATTATTGCTATTTATTTTTCTTCTTGTGTTTTTCAGTATTAATTTTATGATTAAACTATTGTTCTTGTTTCATATTCTCATATAAACATATTCTTGTTTCATAAACTCATACAAGCTTAACTTGACATTTTGTCTACTTTATAATTTTACGCATATATTGCCTTCCTCCTTTTCACTCAGAAAGGATGATAAGGATTTCTTTTACCAGTATACTCTTACTGTATATATTGGTATGCAGATTCAAAATGCAGGTTATTCCAGTTACCAAATTATTGCAAAAGAACTAACAATCTACCTTTACAATCTTTCTTCATCTACCTTTACATAATCAGAAGAAACATTATCGTGTTAAAATTGTTTGAATTTAAGAAAAGCTGTATCAGTATCATCACATTTTTCGATGTGACTGTTGTCTTTGGTGTGCATGCTATTATCACGATGAAAGCAGTTACTAATTGTGCTTTTTTTAACAGCATCTGTGACATATAGCTGTCAGCAGAGTTGTCATAATGTTCATTACAATCTTAAAAAAAAAAAAAAAAATTTGCTGCAAGAGTTTCAGGTTATTATGGCAGGTTGTGCTGTCCACAAATAAGAGAATTTTAAGCTTTTCCCTCAAAAACTGCTTATCTATTTCTTTTAACCAGTTACTGACGACGTCTCGTGCCGTTCATGCTTATGTATTGGATACATAATCAACTGGCAATGTTCAAATTCTTTTAAAACACAGTGGAGTCCTTTAACTTTCCAATTACTTGTAGAATTCCTCACTTTGTAATTCTAAGTTAATGTTGGAAGTGAAGAATCTTAAGAACTGATAAGCAAATAATCGCTCAAGTTCGGGTGACAAGAAACAACAAGATAGAAGGGTAACTAACCCTTTATTATTCCAATAAGAATTAACAAAACTCCGCCTGGGAGTGTACAAACAAGCCGACACTTGGGCTTGAACTTAAGAGACTAAGATTAACTAAAGAAATATAGCCGAAGCTATCAAGATTCAAAACGAGTTGGCCCCTTAACTTATTTGACTACAAAGCTTAGCAAGGGCCTGAGTACGGCCAAGCATAATAACAGCTTTGAGAGAGAGAAAGGCCAAAAAGGCAGATGCACGTAAATCAGAAACTCGGATTCTCTCTCACTCTGTAAGTAACTTCGTGGTTTAAATACCGCTCCTCCTCATTAAATATTCAGCAAGATTCCAAAACTACGTTCTGGCCGGAAGTAGTAAGTTAAGAATTTGAAAGGAAAGGAACTTTAACTTAAAATTTAACTATTAATAAAATTAACAATCCTTACACACTAATAATTTAAGCTTTTTGCTTCTATCCATATCAGCACAGGGTAAAAACTGTAATCCTCTGTTTACTGCTTTTTAATCTCATATGTAAACATCCCCTTCAAAATATAAAGTCTTGTTTGACAAGAGTTTATAAAAAAAATGCAAGGTTAGAGTAGACTGAAGGGTAGGTACCCTTGTATTAATGCAAAGTTGTTGTTTCATTTATAGTAACCTGAGTAGTTGAATGTTCCGTAAATATACTTTTATCTAGAATTGGGTGCTCTTTTGACATTTTAAGTGAAAATATATCGATGTGTGCATATACAAAGTCAAGGGAGTGCACAATGCCAAATTTGTGCAATTCACTTTTTTTTTTTTTTTAAGTGAAAATAGGTCGATGTGTATGTGGATAAAGTCAAGGGAGTGTGCAATGCCTAGTTTGTGCAATTCTGTTATTTTTTAAGTGGAGCTAAATCAATGTGTACATGGATACTGAGTTTGTGCAATTCTTTGACTTTGTTATTTTGTCTTTGTGTAGCTTTAACAAGTCAAAGAATTGCACAAACTCGATATCACTGTTCCGCCAAAAATTGCCAATTTTCACAAAGGCGTACCCCTTAAATATACTTTTACCAAATGCAGTTTCTTTTGCATTAGAGATATCTTTCGGTATGTAATTAGAGAAAGGCCCTGGCAGTTTTGTACTGAAATTTGTGCATTTGTCTTTGTACATACGTCATGTTTTATATGTAGTCAGTAACTGAGTATTTTAACTGGTTGATGCCTAATATAGATAGGGTAAATAATTTAGCATCACTAAAAAGTTTGATACTTTTTTTATCATTTTTTAAAGTAAATTAGTTTCTTATAATGTTAAATCATAGTTATTTTGTACAAATTGAAGAAACAATACAAATTAATTTTAAAATAGATAAAAGTTTGAACAAATTTATGCTGTTAATTGGTATATAGAAAATTATGTTTGATGAAATCGTTGGTACTTATTGAGTATCCTTTTTTATTTGGTCTCGGGTGTAATTTTTTTGTGTTAAGCATTGCCAGTCACATTTTGATAAATCTTTTCTGTGTAGTTATTAGCTTCTGGCACCATCAGTGGCAAATTAACTTTTCTAGATTATTTGGATAATTTAAATAGGTAATCATATATGTTATTTAATTTCAGGATTTCTTCCTAACTAATGAAATATATGCATAGCTTTTAATGTTAATAAATGTACTTGAATATGATTTATCACAGAAAATTATGATCCAAAAACATTTTTATAAATCTTTTGCTGTTGTAAAAAAAGAAGATTCAAACTTCAATTGCAGTAATGAGTGAAATGAAGTAAAATTTTAACTTTCCTTTAATTTTTTATGCAGTCTAAAATTATTGCCTCTTATTACAGAAATATTTAGATGTACAGCATTTACATTATAAAATTTAACTTAGGAAACTCTGTCCAACCATTTTCAGAAATTCTTTTTTGAAATACTGTGGTATTTCATCTACTGATAAGCTCAGGGGGGGGAGGCAAAAACCTCTGTGTGTTAATATTTCTCACAGATTCAGGTGCCGACATTGTGTCGGGTGATATTTTTTTCTATTTAGTCTTGTAAGTTTTTTGAAATCATCTTAATGAAGAGTAGTTGATGCCTTAGAATAAGTTTACTTTTTATAACAAGTATGTTACTATCATGAAGTAGAATGTATAAAATAGAAATTTGCAAAATGTATATGAAATACAAATTAATTCTGAATTTTCAATGGCGTTTTGGCCAAACTGATTTTTTGACAATCCAGGCAAATGTCCATTTGATTTGTCTCTTAATCTGGCACTGGTTCTGATGTTCTTCAGTTGTCAGTCAGCAAGTGATCAAGTTATCCAGTCAACATGTTTAAATTTTTAAAGTGAATTCTGTTTGAGATGACAGATTCAAGTTCTGTCCATTATGTGGTGACACTTCAATTTCTTTCTGTTTCAACTATGTTTCAAGCTTTCTGAAATTGTCTTAGCAGAGGCAGTAGCTGTGTTCTTTATTTGGATTCTTTTTGTAACTTAGATAGTTTGTGTAATAAATGTTAATTGTTACATTTTTCACCTCATTTTTACTACTCGAATTCTTAAGATCGTGTCATTATTTAATGCTAGAATAACTACATAATTACATTTTTAAAGTTATTTTCATTACTTTTAGGTACTATAGGACATGTAGCGCATGGAAAATCTACTGTAGTGAAAGCAATATCTGGTGTTCAGGTGAATATATTTGTGTAGCTATGGCTTATTTCAGTACATGTACAAGTTGCTTGCAAATTTAATATTTTTTGGTGATTTGGTGTAATGTATGAATGCATATGTTATATGTATTCAGTAACCGAATATTTTAACTGGTTGATGCCTAGTATAGATTGGGTAAATAATTTAGCATCACTTTAAATGTTAGATTCTTTTTATCATTTTCAAAATAGCTTTTTTTTCGTATAATAGTAAATCATTGTTATTTTATACAAATTGAAAAAAATAGTAATAGAAATTAATAATAGAAACTTTTTGGTACTTATCAGTTATACTGGTTAATTTGGTTTTGGTTGTAATTATTTTGGTTTTAAGCATTTCCAGTAATATTTTGATAAATCTTTTCTGTTCAGCTATAGCTTTTGGCCCCATCAGTATCAAATTCTATATACTTACTTTTTTAATTATTAAGTAAGTTCTTAGCTGCTAAAGCGAAGAAAAAGTAGTGAGCAAAATTGATATGCTGACAAATCAGACGAAAAGTGTGAAGCCAGGAAAACATAAATTGCATTTCATCTCAAATGTTATATTTTCTTATAAATGTATTTATACAATACTTTATTACATTCATTGTAAAATAGAACATTTAAATGTTGCTTTTTCTGTAATCACTTTTTTCCTGTGTTTGTTCTTTTTATGTATTGATCTACTATATTTTTAGTCTGCTTTATCTTGATTGCCTTAAAATTAGATTAATGATGAATTTCATCATCTAAAACTTGGTACTAAAGAATACACATGAAAATTGACTGGCACTTCTACTTTTAGTTTCAAATTTAAAGAAAGCAGTATGAAAATTTTATTGTTTTAATCCATTAGTTTAAAGCTGAATTGAAAGTTTATTGAAATGTTTCTGTGATAGACTATTAAGTCTTTTTTTTTTCTTTTCTTTTTTAACTCTTTCCTAATTTTTTTCCTTCATAGAATTTGTTTTAAAAAACATTTAATTTAAAGAAGTTCACAATAATTTTAAAACAGTGTTCTCGAAATGCATTTTTTAAAAATCTAGCTTGATTTTTCTTTATGTATGGTAATTTTTTTCTTTGTCTTTGGAGCCTGTTTTGGACAATATTTAATAATAATTGTATAATATTCAATTTTAATGAAGTGTATATAAATTAAAATTAAATTAATAGACAGATCTGTATTTGTTTATATAAGTTATTACATTTGGTTACTATTTGATAAATATTGCAAAATGATGCTAGGTTATATTTTGGAATAGATCTAAAAAATATTGAAAGCCAGCTGGGGATTATAAAATTCTTTAAAATGGTTAAGTTATACATTGTGGCATTTAGTTGCTCAGTTCTGAACCATGGATGCAGTGCCTCTTCTTAAGTGCTGTACTGGAAATTTAACAACTGATTCAAGGCTATGAATTTTTCTATTTATTTATAGTTTTAAGCAGAAAAATGCATTTGCAGGCTTAGGCTGTGAAATAACATTTATAGTCCTTTTTTAAGCTTGTGTTATGTTATTTAGTGAAAAATAAAGTTTATTAGCAGAAAAATTTGCTTCTTAAGTATTTTTAAATGAAGGCTTTAGTTAGTATCAGAGAAATAGTCCTTAAGTATTTCAGCTTGAATTTTTTTCTGCATGTACACTGAATTTTCTCTTGATTTGTTAGATATAGATGATGTGTAGTGTGTTTCCAGAGTTCTAGAAATTGAGCTTTAGCTTGAGTCTTAGAATGTATAGTCAAAGACCAGTCTTAACATGTCTGTGCTGAAACTACCTATGCATTATTGTTTAGTTCGTTTCAGTTGTTCAACTGATACAGGTGTATTGTAGTGTTGTTTTTGAAACCATGGAAGAACAAAGAGCTTTTTTTTTTTGAGGGAAAGAAGATGTGGGGAATAAAACTTATTAGACGTGTGTGAGGAGTATACTGTTTCCATATTTAAAAAAAACTATCATATGTTCGATTTGAGAATTTCACCATGCCATGAGGAGAGAGAGGAGATAGCAAAAATGTTCTTTGAGGATGGCTTAAAAAATTTATTGTATTAAATGGGGACTATATCAAAAAACTGCATTGTAATTTTAGTGAAATAAAAACATTATACCTTTCCTTGGAAAAATCCTTCATAGATTACAGAATATACTTTAGTGTGTAAAATTAATTGGGACAAAGTGTTTCCCCCTCCCACAAAATTTGAAGGTGGTTACCAGCTGGCACCAGCAGGTTCCTCAAAGCAACTTTATCTGAATTAATATCATCTAGGTGTCTGCCTTGGATTACTTACAGGTTTAGACAATAAATTAGGATTATTGAACCATTTTTAAGTTCATTTTTGTGAGAAGAGAACTTACTTGTGCATATGCTTAACCCTTTGACGCGCGGTGGTCGCGCCTTGAAACCACCAATTTTTGATTTTTTTTCCCTTCTCTTTCCGAAATTTTTGAGTGATAATCAGTTGATTACTGATCTTTTACCTCTAAATAACTACAGAATCATACATGTTTTAAGTCTTAGTTCTTTAAACGGCTGCCTTTTAAAATTTGAATTTCCAAAGTTATTCATCTCACATCATTATTTCTATCATGAACAATAAAAAATTGCAATAATTAAACTGCATATATATATATAAAAAAAACCTATCTATATTTATGACATTTGCTTTGTGGTTTCAGAATGCGACCACTGTGCCGCTAGATTATTGTGTCACAGTGCTCACAATTCTCTAGAGGTTCGGTGGTAACGCCTTGAAACCACTGCTCTTCACAATGGTGTTTGCTTGCTTTTCAAATAGGAATGTTTATTTTTACCTGGATATAGATAAGGGGTTTTGAAACTATAGAGTTATTTTATTACTAAACAGTACATACACTTGCCCAGTGAAAAGATCTTTCTTTTCCAGAGATTTTTCTCTGACCTCAACACACTCAAGGACTGAGGACCTCAACACTTGCTTCCTAAGCTAGTATTGGGATTTTTATAAACTACTTGGTGTGGGTTAAATTTAGTGTAAACATACTTTGCAATAATTAAAAATAGAAATCGCGTAAAAGTTTTATTTAAATTTAAAGTATTTTCTAAATATTTTGGGACGAAATTCAAATAAAATAAGTATCAATGGGAAATGAAGGATCCGTACGGAAAACTAAATAACGCTGGACATATACCAGTGAAATTTAGAAGATCAGGCAGTGTATATTTTGTAGCACAAGAAAGAAACCTCATAGAACAAGATACATATGCAAAATGTGCGTCTATGCATGTACCAAAAAGACAAAACATGCTTTGAACAGTGTCACAAAAAATGTTTTCTTTGAAATTAAAAAAAACAACATAGTTTTTTTTATCCTTACTTTACTAAGTTTTTTATCCATTTATCCGAACGTCATTATGTAGGTACTTATATTTTCACTGCTATAGAAAAATTACGTAAATGTTTACTTTTAATTTTTTTGACGATTTATTTTGTTAAAATGATATAAAAAATTTACATATAATGCAATTCTTACATACATTTTTTTTTAAATTTGTAAATTTCATTGTTTATTGGAAATGCGCATGGAAAAATGTAGGTTTTTTTCCCCGTACTACCTCAGTAAGTTTCAAAGTCCTAGATGCACGCTACTTTCACAGTGCAACCACCACCCACAGAACAATGGGCAAGAGTAGATTTTTTTAAAATTCAGATATTACTTTTCTCTAGAATCATAATATTCAACTTCTAGAGTTTTTAGTTAAAAAAAACTATAAAAATAATATAGCACGCGTCAAAGGGTTAAAGTACATTTTCCATTCATTCATTTTACAGTAGTGAACAAGAATATACACCTAGAAAAAGAGCAAAGATTATTGTGCTTAACAGCTGCACATCCGTAATTGTCGCAAATATTGCTTTCTCAGTTGCTGTTTGAAAATTGACCATTTCACAAATTCTGAGGAGACTGAATGAAGCAAGATGTTTTTCTCCAGAAAAGAAGGGCAAGTTTGGAAGGAGAAGGAAAGCAAATGCAAAACTAACAAAGACCTTAAAAGAGATCTACTGTCTATTGGTATTGATATTCATCCTTCAAATGTGCAGCATAAACTTCTCACTGGTAGCCAGAAGGTGAGAAATCCTGTTAAAAAAACAATTTTTGATATGTCAGATAAAGCAAAGTGATTATTGTGGGCCAAAATTAAAAGTGTGGGATCACAGTTGACTAGAAAACTGTCATTTTTAGTGATGAGACTCATTTATTTGTTCATGATTACACATCTAATGTTGTTAGACGAAGCATAGGTAAATTGATAACACATCAACATATCTGACAAACCTTAAAATACCCTTAAAAACAAGTATTTTGGGATTTTCGCTGCAAATGGCAGTGGAGATCTAGTTCCTGTTGACAAAATGAAGAATTCATTGAAGTATGTAGGAATTGTGAAACATAGGATACTACCATTCTTGGAAACCTCTGCAGAGACATTTCAACATAATTTGGCTCCATGCCACAGTTCAAAAATCTGTTATAAGATTTGTTTTGAAAAATAAAATTATCACACTAGATTGACTTGAAAATTCACCAGACTAAAATCTAATTGAAAACTTCTGGCACATTCTTAAACAACATATTTTCAAAATGGATTGTACGACAACAGAGCGACTTTCTATTATTAAAGTGTGGATTCTTGATAAAGAAGTAAAAAATATATGCATAAGACTAGTATAGTCAATCCAACCACATTAAAAAGTTTATTTGCACTAAAGAGGACATATTTCCTATTAATTTTATTATCACTGTATATGAAGATATGTACACTGGGGGGAATAGTTCTATGTTTCTCCTTCTACTGGGGCAATTGGTGAAATTCAAATTGTGTTTTTCATGTCTTGAACGCACGACTAACATAGGTATTTTGACACAAAAATTTCGACTTTTTCTGAAATGACTTGTCAATTTTTCCCATATTTTGATTCGACGACTCAAATTATGCCTAAATATTAAATTTTTTAAAATTT